CAATTAAACATGCATAATAATTCAGTAATTCATATTTTGAGCAATTTATTATGAAGGAATGACAATATAAGAGACAAGATCATGTAAACCCATGTTATATCATAAACATAGCAACCATCAAAAATTAAGACTTATCGGGACTTTCAGTTCAAATTAGTCTTCTCCTCTAGATCCGAGTGCATAGAAAAACAATTCATCCTTGGAGTAACAGGATCTAGACTACCTTAAGGAACTTGGTTTACCTCTTTAATTTTTTCCTTGAGGTTATGTGAATCTATCATCTTGTAACCTTTTTTACCATACCAAAAGTTACTATTTGCTCGAGCAAGACACTTATCCAAATGTTGCTTACAACAAGTACCACACCTGGACCGCTCAAAAGAATGACCACCTCATTGGGAATTTTTGTTGGGAACCCCGATCTTTGTTCCTCATGGAAGAGTCTTGAATATATAACCTCTTATTGGGTAAGGATTGACTTAATTCATCCTATACATGTTCCCCTCTCTACTTATCTCCGTAATGTTGAACTCCTCTATTTGTTGAGCATACACCATGAGACTAGAGATATCCATATCATTAAGGGGAAATGTCATACAACACTTTTCTTTCAAAAAGGTATACACCCCATCAAAAATTTATTCATATTAGCTCCACGGATTTCTACAAAAGTTAGGTCATGCATAGAGAGTTGTGTGAAATTTGATAGAGTACTCTTTAACACTCATACTCTCTTGATGATGGTGCATGAATTCCACAATCTTTCTCCCCCACAACTATAAGGGAAAAAACCTATCAACAAAAGCCACCTTGAACACTTCCAAATCTACCGGACCTTCCCTGAAGGATCTCTCATCCCTCCATTGCTCAATCCACACTTGAACCAAATCTTAGAGTTGATAAGCGTCTAGCTCTTCCATCTCTCTAGGATTCACACCCATAAAAGCCACAACCTTGAACACCTCATTTATGATGCCTTGTGAATATTTATCAAATCTTGTGCCACAGAAAGTAGGAGGGTTCATCCTCATGAAATCTCGCATTTTTTAAGCTGGAGTGCTTGCATTTGATTGAGGTCAAATTACTAGATTATCTTTTGGAGCACATGATTAGTGACTACTTGAGCTTGAGTTATTCGAAGGTTTATGATGCCCTAAGGGAATCCCTTTTCTGTGCATTAGTCATATCCCCTTAATCATAGGGAGATTGAGGAGCTTGGGACATTGTAGGAATCTGGAGAACTTGAGGTTCTTAAGGTACTTGAGAGGGAACCTCATCATTTACATCATCTTGGTCATATAGCGGGACTCGCTCACCACAGGGAGGGATCCTCTCATTAACTACTCCTCCCTCCTCCCTTTTATCTGGGGTTCTCCTCAATTCATGCCCTATAAACATAGGAGAAAAGGTTAAAAAAGAAATTTATAGACTTCAAGTCTATAGCCAGACACTAGAAGAAAGTGAAACTTCTATCATCTTATAGCCTACCACTCATGGATGTATAGCGACTCACACTGATGAAAAAGACTCTACTAGACATGGCTAGTGAGACTTAGGGACCTAAACTATTTACCAAAACCATATAGTGATGCAAAGTTTGCAACGTTTTCAAGTACACCCTAGAAGAAGAGAATAGTAATGAGACGTCAGAAGGCATACTTGACCCATCGGAGGTCTTGTACTAGCCTATTAGTTGTCATCCATTGCATAAGATATGAAAAGTAGAGCGAAATTAAAACTTTTCACAACATTAATAATAATAAGAAATATCCTCTATAGAATAATAAGGAGCAATTCCCATTGTCACAAGCAAACATAATGAAACATCTTGAATATATAGGGTACACGACTCTTAACTTCAAAATAAAAAATGTAATAAGCCTTATATATGTCTTAATAGAAGAAACTAAAGAAACATACACTATGTCCTCGAATATATGAGGACATACCAAGTCTTAACTCAGTGAACTTCCTACGCTTTTCCTTCTAGACTTCCAACGTATATTTATAGATTATAGAAAAGTATGGGTTTAGCACAAAAATTGTACTTAGTATGGCATCATGCAAAAATTATGCAAAAGATGACATTTTAGTCGAAATAAAGCTTTCATTATATATAAGTAAAACCTTAATTAATATAGTATTAAAATAACATATAAATCATCATTTAGAACATAAGGTAAAACTTCCATAATTTTATCACCAAACTACACTTTACAGTGAACTCAAGTAATCTTACAGTGAACTTCGTTCATTTAAACTTAATGTGAACTACTTTAATTTGGACTTACATTGAACTCATTTACCTTGAAGTTTCCCCTTCCAAAGTTATCCTAAGACGCACTAAGGTAGGAAATGAATAAATCGCCTATACAATCCCTTAAATACACATATTAGTGATCCTTAGGACTACGGCGATGAGTTTACTCAACACGGGTAACAAGTCCACACTCAAAATCAAGGATACTAGAGGAACATACCTAGATTTAAAGACATTAAATAAGAACCCTTCTCCGGACAACCCGCAAGTCACACATACCTCAATGTTAAAGCAAGCATCCCATACTACTACCATCACCAAGTGTTGTTTGATAATTTCCTTAGATAAGGCATACCACATTAATTATTCATATACTACATCTTACAACACATATCCTTAACATTCTTTCTTAACATTATACACTAAGTAACCTAAATTCATTTACATTACATAATGACTCATTCATACATTTCATATAAATGAACACCAAGACTCCCTCTAAATGCCTACCTGTGCAATGAGTACATAGCATCCCATGTGATGAAAGATAGGAACTTTGTGGGGCTCGCTAGCTACTATCATCAATTTTCGAAGAACTTTTCTTCTATCACCACCCACTACAAAAGCTTGACAAAAAAGGAGGTACCCTTAGAATGGATTTAATTATGTGAGGATAGCTTCCAAAATCTCAAGACTCTCTTGACCACAACACCTATCCTAGCACTACCAAACAAGGTAAGGATTTTATTGTTTATTGTGATGCTTCACATTCTAGTTTAGGTGATTTATTAATACACGATAAGAGTCTTATAGTTGAAGAATTATCTAACATATGATTTGTAGTTGGCACCAGCAATATTTTCTCAGAAGATTTGGCGATATTACCTCAATGGTGTCAAGTGTAAGTTATTTGCTGATCATCATAGCTTGCAACATGTGTTTACTAAAAGGATCTATATATGATACAATAAAGGTGGATGGAGCTACTCAAGGATTCTTATATGGTCATTCAATACCATCCGGGTTAGGCTAATGTAATGGCTGACTCTTTGACTCAAAAAAACAGTGAGTATGGGTAGTTTAGATTTCTTGAGTGTAACTATGGACCCTTGGATGAAGAAATTGTGATATTGGAATCTAAGTTCATCTAGTTGGAAATTTTAGATAAATGTGGGGTGTTATCTAGAATTGAGTTTGTGGCCACATTCATTAAGGTGATCGAAGCCATACAATTTGAGGATGAAAATTTGAATTAACTTAAGAAAAAGACAGTGATAGGTAAGGCACAATCAACAACTCTTGATGCGTAAGGCTTGTTAAAATTTAAAGGAAGAAATTTTGTTCCTCAGTTTATGACTTCATTTAGAAATTATTGAATGAATAACATTGTTAACGATATTCACTTCATTCGGTTGTGACAATGATAATGAGGGTTGAAGTGAATTTATTGGTGGCCGAGCATGAACCTTGATTTTGAGGTGTTTGTGGCTAACTGTCATAACTTCCATAAAGTCAAATATGAACATTAAAGGTCTATAGGTTTGCATCAAAGAATTCCAATTTCGAAATGAAAGTGGGAAAGGATAACCATGGATTTTTGTAATTGGTGTTACCAAAACTTTTGAATGTTTTATCCTACTTAAATTGTGGTTGATAGATTGACTAAGTGAGCGCATTTCATTCAACAATAGATTATACTGCTAAACAATCGGTTGTGGTGTATGTGACAGAGATAGTGAAATTGAATGGGGTGTGCTTTCTATCATTTAAGATCACATTAGGAAGTTTATTTACAAATCTTTTGGAGGAAATTACATGATTAATCGGGCACATAACTCACTTTTAGTACCGCTTTCCATTCATAAATGGAAATGCAGTTAGAGAGAACTATTTCAGTGTTATAAGACATGTTGAAGATATGTGTGACTGACATTGGAATATGTTCTTACCTATGTATGATTTCTCTTATCATAATAGTTATCATTCTAACATTGATATGAAACAATTTTAAACACTATATGGGAGGGGATGTAGATCATCCATTCGATGATTCGATGCTTGAGATATGAAACTTTGGAGATTGATTTAGTGAAAGATGCTAAACAGAATGTGAGAAGCATTCAAACTAATCTTTTAAAAGCCTAGACTAAAAAGAAGAAGTATGCAGACCATAAGGTTAGAGAAAATGAAATTTCAGACTTGTTAGAATGTTCTTATTAAGGTTTGGCCAGTGAAAGGGGTGATAAGGATTGCCAAAAGGGCAAGGTAAGTCCTTCATACATTGGTCCCTTTGAGGTTCTTGAATGCGTAGCACCAGTGGGTTAATCATTGGCTTTACCTCCTAACTTCTTAGGAGTTTATTTGGTATATCATGTGTCCATGATGAATATATATCATTGTGACGGGGATTACATCATAAAATGGAACTCAATTATGTTAGAAATGAACTTCATTATTATGACGAGGATAAGTTTGCCATTCTTTTTTGTGATGTGCATAAGCTGAGTAACAAAGAGATGATGTCCTTGAAAGTTCAATGTAAGCATTGTCTAATCAGGAAGCTACTCGGGAAAACGAGAAGGAGATTCTCATGACCCGCAAATACACCCTAAAATATGGGAGCACTCGTGAGGTCATCACAAGGCGTACTTGACCCTTCGGAGGTCTTGAACTAGCCTCTTAGCTATCATTCATTATATAAAATATGAAAAGTAGTGCGGAATTAAAAATTTTCACAACATTAATAATAATAAGAAATATCCTTTATAGAATACAAAGGACTAAGTCTCATAGTTAAAAGACAACTTAAACATACATCTTAAATATCTTAAGAACACACATTACATTGAAAGGAAATACATCATTGTCTTATACAAGTCTTCATAGAAGAAACTAAAGAAACATAAACTTTGTTTTCAAATATATGAGGACATGCTGAGTCTTGAGAGAGTAAACTTCCTTAGGTTTGCCTTCTAGACTTACACCTGCCTTCGACCTATACTTATCGAGTATAGGAAATTTATGGATTAGTACAAACATTTTACTAAATATCGTATCATGAAAAAATCATGCAAAACATGACATTTTAGTTGAAATAAAGCATTAATTATATTTAAGTTAAACCTTCATGAATATAGTAGAAAACAACATATAAATTATCATTTAGTACACAAGGTAAAACTTCCATAATTTTAGCACCAAAATACACTTTACAGTGAACTACTTTTATTTACTTCCAATGAAGTACTTTCATATCAACGTAGAGTGAACTCATTTTCCATGATGTTTCACCATCAAATGTAGTCCAAAGACTCTCTAAGGTAAGACATGAAGAAACCACCCATAAAATCCCTTCAATAAACACATAAGCTATCCACAAGACTAAAGGTGATGAGCTTACTTCACAGGGTAAAAAGTCAACATTCAACATCAAGGACACTAGAAAACATACTTTCATTTTTGACTTCACATAAAAACCCTTCTCCGAGACAACCCCCAAGTCATATATACTGTAATGTTAAAGTAGCATGCCATACAACTACCCCCAACAAGTTCTCCTTTATGATTTCCTTGGATGAGGCTGTCATGACCGTGGAAAACCCCCTAGAAGTAACATGGCTTATTTGACCTCTTGGAGGTCTTATACAAGCCAATAGTTATCATTCATCGCATTTTCATAGATAAATATAGCGGAATATTTAAACTTTTTAATAGGTCATCATATGCTAGAACATCACTTCCATTATATATAAAATATCATAATACATTGTCAAAGACTCTAAGTCACATTGTTATTTTAGAATCAACATCATTAAAGCATAATAGGGACAAGACCCATTAAACATAAATTCATAAAATAACTATTACAATACTTCATAGAAACATTACATATGAAATCCTTGAACATAAGTGTCCCTTTCTTTGAGCATGGGGATCACATATCAAGCTCTTAACCTTAGAGACAATCTTTAAGAATCCATAACCAACACTTTATGTAAAAGGTAAATTAGAATACTGTTATTACAAGAATGAACAAAGAATGGCAACTATGCAAAAAATTCCATTTGGAATGGATATTTTCCTTTGAAAACCATGCATGATGCCTTTTTGTAAAAACATAATAAAACATGACACAATAAGCATTATACAATTTACATACTTAATTTAGGCATGTTCAATGGTAAAAACATTACATAAAACAAAATATTGCGTTTAAGGTATATTAAGCACCACTTTACAGTAAGCATATTTAATTTACAGTGAACTTCTTTTCTTTAGCTCATTAACCTCCCAAATAATCTTCTACTAAAACTTGATGTATAGATTACCTTATGGCCACAAGGTAATCTAAATAAAACCTTCCTAACTCAACAAATGTGTTCATGGAAGTATAACGTATGACAAGAAACTTTCAAATCAAGACTCCCAATGCCATTACAATGAACCATATTGAATATTCACATATGCTAACTTCAATTTACATAGACTCTTATAAGATATTACTCATAATAACAATATATGTCTACCAGTGTAATGTACATGTGAATGCTCATAGACTCACACATGCTTAGTAACCCTATCATGAGACCACAAGCTTTGACATGTAGTTTATGCACCAACTATGATACTATAGTCAACTACATACATACAAACTAGGACCTTTATTATATATTCAATAAGACAAAAATTATGAATATAATTTAAGAAGACATCATATAGACTCATTAGGACACATACCATTCTTAGTATAAGAAAAAATAGACAAGACTATAATTTATTTCATAAAGACATAAACAATTGCATGTACATTATAACACCTTCCTAAAATTCCCATCAACAGCTACTTGTGTAATGCATAGGTAACTTCACATACACTAATCCACTTATCTTAGGCTATCCTAGTTAGGGTCCTTACTTTACTTCCGTTGTCCATTTTACATTAGGGAAACTATAGCATTAACTGACTCTAAAACCATGGGTACTAGATGGAATTTTGTGATGTAGAGCGTTACACCAAGGGAAGGTTCTCTATGTAGAGAAAAAAGAACACTAACAAATGCTACCATATTAGGTCAGATACCTTGCTAGATCCTATGGCTCAAGAATAGTTCATAAAACTTGGAGGCATATGTGGAAACCCACTTTATGATTATTGACACATTCTCGTTATCCATCAGTAAGGAAAATGGTGAACAAGCCTTCCCACATTGGGAAGGGAAACCCCTCACCTAAGTTCACTCGATGCTAAGCTAAGTTCCATTTATTGAAAATCCATTATTAACATTACTTTACATTGTGTAGGCATAGGAGAGTTAACCCCTCATATTCTTAGCTCATAGGTCATAGATGCGAGTTCATCAACCTAAATCATGTTAGAAGTCCTTTCACATGGACATAGCATATTCAAGAATCATCTAGCTTAGGGTAGACTTTAAAACACCTTTCAAGGTCCCTTTACTAACTAGATCATCATACATGCATAATGTAGATGTTTTCATTTATGTGTGTATACATATATGTGAGCAAAACATTGACATAAACACCCTTACACCACATATGCTCATACTTCATTTCATTCATGCATAGGATTACACGTATAACTATATGAGCAATACTTTTGTATAATCATATTTAGACACTATACATAATCATATACTTGACATTATAGCATATAAGACATGTTCTTCCTTCTATCAAATATTCTACTTTTTGCTGGATATTCGGGTTCAAATACCCATGGTTTCACTATTTGTTATACCCCATGCATTTAAATTCATGGTCTTAGATCACACACCTGTAAACTATCCTATCAAATCACATATGTGAAATGCCTAGACAAATTCCCATACCGTTGTCCATACTAGCACAACTATCAAGTCATCCTAGTTAAGGGACACATAATATTCTTTCATTAGACACCATGAACTTATATTATATGGAAGCATGCATGAGGTTTGAGTGTATGTGCATTGGTAAACATGATCACATAATTTCCATAAACTTCACATTGAGGTACCCACCCTCTTAAAACCACAATTCACATATATGCATTGACTACACTACATAATTTAGAATTGGAGACAAGGTAATATCACATTACATTTAAGACTCATAACCTTTGCTAATCATAAATTCATATCAGGGTACATAGGCAGTGGTCATTAATCATCATTTTTGGAAGAACCTAAACATAAGCCTAACATAGTCATTAACATGCTTATTATATTAGCAGTAAACTTAGATCATAACTATAGTACTAGACTAGGCATGATTAAAATTTGGTGATCAACACCTCCACACCTTCATAATACAATTGTCTTTAAGGTCATGATCACAACATATATACATTGAAAATAAGGTAAATACCGCCACCATAGTTGGAACATGCCACTCAATGCCATACAAGGTCAATTCTACACGAAATACCATAGAAACATAGAGGAATAGAATCACCTTACCAAACCTCCCTTGTTTTGATCATCAACAATCAATACTTGTAATGCCTCAACAATTCAATACAGATAAGTAGCTAAAATATTTCATTACCTAAATAAAATCATGCTTCAATTTCCATTGAATCAAGGTCATATCAAGTGCTCTACACTAATAATCAATAGAAGAAAGAAGAACATAGGTCAATCTCATTCAAATCCTCAAAGTTTGATACACATGGATCACTGATAAAAAATTCACCATCAACATATATAATTGGAAGTAGATATAAGTAATTAAATATACTAGAATTACAATTAAATTAACACATAATCAAGATCATCATGCACATAACATAGGCTGATTTGAGAATTGGAGGGAACATGTGTTCATCGTAAAATTGAATTGTAATTAATATAATTTTCATTAAATTATCATCAATTCATCATGAACATGATTTTGAAATCAACTTTAGAAAGAACCCATGGCTAAATTGAAAACTAGGAAGTTTGATCTTGAACATTCATTAAAAAAACATTGGAAAGAGCTCGTTAGATGGAATATTATCTAAAGATAAAGGATAACCATACTTTATTGTAGGATATAACCAAGAGATATTCATGAAGAATCCTTGGAAATGAAATCTCCCAACAGTTCTTGACCTTCATCTCCAATGTAGGTTTCTAGAGAGGTTTCTTTTTCGAAAGTCTAATTTGATGAATTAATTTGGGAATGGGTGTTTGATATTAATAACCGAATACATATACCCAATAATAGATAAATAAAGTGCCTAGGTTCAGTTCAGGATGTGGGGTGAAATTCTCATTCACCCATTTATAAAAAAGTGTGCCTGACAGCTTGTTGCTGGCTGCATCAATGCTGGAAACCTAAGCCACGTAGGACCATCAACGGGTAGTAATGCTAGCCTTAGTTTGGGTTTGAGGCTTGGTATTGGTTGTATTTACTCTTATTATATGTTTAGGACGACTCCCATGAATCTATGGGGCGTCAACGCACCTACTGGACGTCGTTTGCCAGTCGTATGTAGACACTACGAAAGCAGTGTCTAGGCAGAATTTGGGTTCTCCTTGAGGGTCTTTTGTGTGGACCTTAGGGAGTCGTACCCGTACGTTTCCAATGTAAATACATTCATTGTCATTCAAATGACTTACCATACAAGTTTTAGCATCAAAAAACACTCGCAACAATTCAAATTTTTTAGGCACACAAAAGTACGTCCAGTGGATAACTTTCGAAAGTCTTCAATGTTATTGGACATTTGAATTCCAACCGTCTTAAATAAATCATACATATTTTTAAAAAATAAATTTAAAATTTTAACAATCTTATATGACATATATGAGGATCTATACACCTTAATTCATTTGGGAGGTCTTATAATATCCCCCACTTGGGTACATTCGTCCTCGAATGACACCTGGAACACTTAAAACACAAAAGGGAAATCATTGACTCATAGAGCAGCTCACAACATTCATAACATCACCAAATAGAAATCGATACATAAAACTTACAAGGTACACAAACTTCAAACCATTTATCCCTTAACTCAACATAATCAAGCAACACACATAGGCTCTTCTCAAGGTCATAGGAGTGACACATAGTCTTTTATTATGCTCATAAGAGGAACATCCTTCTCCTAATCATAACATGGTCTTTGTATTCCAGTTCATTAAGAGCTTGTTATGCAACAACATTCAAGTCACACATAGGCAGATTCAATATCACTTAAGAAACAATTAGGCACTCATACTTCATAGCATATACACATGAGTCAAGTAAATTAACAATGGATTGTTTTTAGTTAGGCATACTGCCATGAGGGTGATGCTCAACAATACCATGCTTAGTTATGTTTAGGGAGGAATGTCGTCCTCCTCAACACACTTACAAGTCTCATGAGTTCACACCCAAGAAACGCACAAAGGTCAATTCATTTAAATAGTAAGTATAAATTTTTAACCAAAGAATGCTCATACTTCCTTCCTAGTGAAGTCAAATGGTAAATCACACTACACACATTAAAACAATAGGGAGTCATTTAAAATAGATTCAATTTCTATCATAACCCTAGCTTTCGTAAACATGTATCATTTAGAGAAAATCGTACAGTTTATAGGTAAATACAAACACATGCTTTCATTTTCAAAAGTGAGCCTACATTCATGATTTCCAAACAACACAAAGTTAGATAATTTTTCAAAAGACTTATAATTTTTTTGTATTTTAAAGAGACGAAATTTATCAGTGATGGCTTAAGTACCGCATGCTTAGGGTAACATATAACATGTTTCTTACCTTATTTCATGGATTCTAATGCACAACTAGCACATCAAGATTTGTAATTAAAATGAGAACATGAATTTGATCAAAATCCTTATTCATGCAATTTAGAATTTTCAAAACATGTTTAACACACTGTCAAATAAAACATACATAACATATGAAGAACATGAAAGTCATGCTCCTAAGCAAGACTCCTATCATAAACAAGCTACTAGGAACTCTTTCGTTTGAATATCGAGCAAGAATAGAAGGGAAAGATAGAAATATCTACAACCTTACTACTCTCATCACCATCCCCCACTTAGAGTAAACCCATTAAGAGCAACTTAACTCAACTATCATCATTCCTCTAGGCCTAACACCCAAAGGAAATCCATATTAATCAATTTAGGTCATACTACCCCATCACATAAGGTATCAAGTATACCATAAACACCAAGGGTCATGAAACATTTAGGGGAAAACAATAAAATAGACTTATCCATAAACCCTCTTTTTTCATTCAATATAAAGGTAAGGTAACTTCTACGTTAAACAAACCTACATCATCACCCACCAGATAAGCACACTACCTTTATTACTAGGACCAAGTCCATACAACAGACTCCGATCCATATAAGGCAACTCTGAAGCATCAAACATATACAAAAGAAACAATGATACATTTTACATATAAAAAGCAACATTTGAAGACTTACACCTATATCAAGGCAACATGCATTCTTCACTACACGAAAAAAAAAGGCAATAATGAAGGGGTAGTTTGTCCCTAAAAGTGAGATTCTAGTCCTTAAACGTCCATAGAAACTATCATATCTGGTCTCCTCCCCATTATTATAACCATCATCGCTAATAGTCATTACGGATGGAATGAACAAACTGTTCCTTAAATTGTTCATAAGACTTGTATAAAACTGGTCCCCTAAGATTGTTTTAGGGACTGCATTTTTGTTTCCTAGTAGGAAAAATGTAGTCCTAAAACACACTTTTAGGGACAACATTTAATTGTCCTTGCATACAAGATCCACCAGTTTAGTGGGATTATTAGGACTAGCTAATTCCTATTTTTGAAATTGTAATGAGAAATTTAGTAGCAAGAATCAAGTGCACATACTAGGTACTACTTCACCAACCAAAAAAACTATCATCCTTTATAAAATATTACAAATGTAGATGTGTTGTTGGTTTATTTAGTAGAAATTTTTTTCTCAGTTCCAACACCAGTTGTTCCCACGTCAAAAAACTGTCTCGGCAAACAAGATATTTTGAGTAATTCAAGGTCTATTTTAGGTAAGTCCCTGGATAAGAGAGATGAGCTTCTGGAAAACTAGGAAAATAATGGGATTATGATATTTTTTTCTAATACAATTATAGTCACTATAGTGTGTTGATGAAAAAAACAAGTTTAATACACCTGCAATGATCAAAGACATAAAATATGGCCAATGTGTGCTCAATTTAATTTTTAAAAAAAAGGAAACTAATTTTCACAATCAAGATGATACATATGCATATTTATCCTAGATACCTTATACAATATGTATAGGCTGAATAATGTTCAATTTTAATTGAGCTACCGTCAAGTGCTCACACAGAAAAGGCCAATTTTCACAACACAAGGAGTAATATATTTTATACTATGTTTTTACGGTGATCTAACTCAAGAATATTGAACAATTCCTCAAAATATGCAAGTTTTGACAACCTCAATCAAAAATAATTTGAGTTCAAATTACATAATCTTTTATCATATTCACTACCTTAAAATTATTGAATGTTGTGAATTGAATGAACACATACTTTTATAGATATATATAACTTACTAAAGAAAAAGAGGAAGCATCATATTTTGAATATATTCTGTAGTTTAAAGGATGCAAGAGGTTTTAATGCACTTGAGGAACTCTTGAAAGAATCAGTAAGGAGGATTATTTGATACCTCATTGTAATGAAAGTTTAAATTTCATATATGATCTTCCACATTATATAAGCAAGTTGTAGTTATAGCTACTGAGAATATTAAAAATATCTCAAAGTATACTTTATGTTGTCTTTCAATCTTAAAAGAGCAAATAGTGATTTTAAGTTATTTCAAAAAACTCAATAATTTGCTCAATGAATACAAAATCTAATTAGTAAGGTAAAAAATTTCAGATGAACTCATTGAAGAAGGTACATGCCTCGAATCTCTTTAAAAATTCTGTAGAAATTCCAAAAATGCGATAACTTTTCTAAAACAATAGAAAAACCAATAGTTATAACCATTAAATTTCCATAAATAAGAATAAATGATAAACAAATAATTTCTAATATGAACCCATACTCTTTAAGATGAACTTGTCTTGGTCTTATGAAATGATAAAATCAAGCAAGTTCTTATGCCTTCAAGGAAACAAAACAGATAGAATTAAAATTATGATTACAAAATCAACATATCTTGTTAAATAGACCAACAATTACTTGATTTATTAATCAAACGGACATTTAAAGTTTACATGACAAATTATATTGCTAAAGTTACATATATTTTACAATTCATAAAGCACTTTTCAATGTCCATAGAATCAGAATAGTGAACTCATTCAAATGGAAGTACTGCATCATTTGGAACGGGTCATCTATAATATAAGTCATGTAGTAGAATCAAGATGCTACAAGAATTAATAGTTAAAATAATAGATAATAGATTAATTGAAACAAAGATCATTATAGAAATTTAATCATCTAGGATTTCGTCAATCCATTTCTACCAGAGTGAAGATGCATCCAGCACTAATGAAAGAAAATAAAATATTAAACACTATAGTTAACTGAATCCTTTCAACATTAACAGAAAAGATGCAGCAAAAACAAAACACATATTTCAATGAGGTAGTGATAACAGATTGTAGCTATCACATAACACCTTTAGTTAAAAAGCGTAGAAAACAACAACTGTTGAACCTTCAACTAATAAATTTATACATAAGAAGCAATCAAGACAAATTAAAAACCTCTTCTTTTGTTAATGCTCGTAGAACCTATTTTAAGCCATTGAAACGCCTCATTCTCATCTCGTTGTGGATGATAAAGTTTATAAAACACTCTTTTCTTATTACATCATTGATATATGTACTAATAATTTAAATCTAATTGTGGAATCATGTCAATACCTATTTATATTTTTTTGATTTTTTTTCTATAAACTTTTAGAAAGTTCTAGCTATATGGTTTGTTGAGCAAGTTGCAATGCTTAAAGAGAAAATTTAACAATGAAATACAAGAATCTCAAAATGTATACATAAATTCAAGTAATATTTAATAAACTAAAGAACTCAAGATTACTCATCAACATTTTCTCATGAAGTACTTTTGTTTTTTACATCAACACACTCCATATAGTTAAATTATTAGTATAAAAAATTGTCTACTTAATTTTTTTTTCAAATAGTGAATTACACAAATAAACATGTATTTACCTGATTATATAGGTGACATAGTTTTCAACACCATAATTATAATCTAACGCTACGTATTGTTTGAATTCAACCAATTTACCTCATAGTGTCATATCTGCACCTTAACCTCACGTATCCAAGCAAGTTTCCAGAAGACTAATGGTCTTCTTCAGAGTAAATACATAGTTCATATGTATGATTTCAATTTTTCTTATATCTAGTTTCCCTTTAGATCAATATCATAGTTCATACGTATGCTTTCGATTTTTATTATATCTACTTCACCTGTTAAATAGTCTAATGTTTTACTATATAAGGAAAAATTTACAAAATAATTGTGCAAGACTAACATGAACTAATTTATTATTTTTAATATATTAGAGAATAGAAAGTTTGTTATCTCAACTTTGAGTAGGGTCACTTACCATAAATAATTAACAGTAAATAGCTTCGTGCCCTAATCCTCATTCCTCTCAAAGCCCTTTTTAATATCATACCCTAACCACTGTTCCTCAAACAATGCCCAATACTCCAAGTAATAGTACTCATCACAAAAAAATCAATATTACAAAAAATCAATTTTGAAAATTTCTTGTTTTATATATAACAAGAAAAGACGAAGAAACTAGACAAACCTGTTAAAATAAATATATCTTTTCAGCCAAAGTGTGTATCTTCAAGCACCTTACGTAGATTTTGATTGAGATTCCACATCTTGAGAGAGAATATGAAAGAGTCCATTATTTTGGATTTACGAGCTTTCACATAGAAAAAAATGATAGAGAGGATACGAGTTTTATTAAAAGTGGGTGGGGGTGTTGGTAAGTACTTTTATTTTGTTACTTGTAATTTGTCAGATATAGTGACGAGATTTTTTTTCTGTGAGGGACTAGATCAGAACTGTTCGCTATATTGGGACCACAAATAAAAATTATCACTATTAGTTTATTTTTATGGATGAGATTGTAACAATGTTGCTAAATGTTTATCTTTAAAGAGCAGTTTTCATGTAGTGCTTTAGCTATCTATCACACTTCTTTAACGCATTTCATGATCAAATCATAACATTAGTCTATCATCATGAAAAATAATATTAAAACATATCATTCAAAAAAGAAGTTCAATTTAACTATAACAACTTTTCCACGAGCTATAACCAAATCATAATATAAATGTTTACATTGTGTGTAATTTAACCCTAATCACATATAAAGCCATAAATAGCATCACATCAACATATATCAAGGTTCACATTCACACATAATCAAGTAACCGCAATGCCAAGATAATTATCAAAACTCACCTTTTCTCCAGGTTAATCATAAACATACCATCTCATCCAAGCAATCACATCTCAAAGAACACCGGACAGGAAAACATAAGAGGGAGGTCTTATAGAATTAATTTATATGGTACAACATGAGACTAGTAAAGAAAGGAAACTCTATAGTCCTACATCCTCTCTCTCATAGATGTGTCGCGACTCACCACTGATGATCGAGACTCTACTAGACGTGGCAATATTAGACTTCGGACCTTAAAACAACTTTCATAAACCCCAAGTTCTAATACCACGTTTGTCACGAACGAGGAGCACCCACTAGAAATAGCATGGAGCACTTGACCTCTTGGATGTCTTATACAAGCCCATAGTTATCATTCCTCACATTTTCATAGGTAAATTTAGTGAAAATTTTAAAAACTTTTTATAGCACAAAATATGATAGAACATCACTTCCATTATAAATAAAATATCATAGTACATAGTTAAAGACTCTAAATAGGGACCCATCCCATTCAACATAAATTCATACAGTAACTATTACAAGACTTTATAGAAACTTAACATAGGAAATCTTTGAACTTAAGGATCCCTTTCATTGAGATTGAGAATCAAATAGCAAGTCCTTCACCTTAGAGACATCCTTTAAGGATTCATTACCTACACTTTGTATAAAAAGATAAAGAAGAATAGTGTTAGTACTAGCATACACTAAGTATTGGAACAATGCAAAAACATACAGTTGGAAGGGACATTCTCTTTTGAAAACCATGCATCATGCCTTTTTTTTTAAAAAAAAATATTATATGATAAGCATTATACCATTTACATACTTAATTTAGGAAAATTTAATGGTCACAACATAAAACCATACATTGCAGTTAATGCATGTCAACACAACATAGCATTAAGAATGTTTCATTTGCAGTGAACTCCTTTCTATAACTAAGAACATATTTTCTTTGACTCATAAACCTCCCATGTAACCTTCTAGTGATACTTGGTGCAATGCATCACCTTAAGGACAAAAGGTATTCATACAGACAACATTCCTAACTTAATACATTCATTTATAAAAGTATAACATCTCCCAAGAATATTCCTAGTCAAGAATCCCAATGCCATTACATTGAACCATAGTCAATATTCACATCTGCTAACTTCACCTTAAAAAGACTCTTATAAGACCTTACTCATAATCTCAATGTAATTCTACTAGTGCAATGTAAATGTGAAGCGCTATAATCTCACACATATTTAGTAACCCTATTATGAAACCACAAGCAGTAGCATGTATTCATGCACCAATAATGATACTATAGTCAACTACATGCATACCATGTAAGACCTTCATTATGTAGTCAATAACACTAACATTATGCATATAAGGTAAGAACACATCATATAGACTCATACAATGAATATCATATGAATAAGTAGATAAAAATACAATGTCATGCATAAAGACATAAACATATACATCTACATTAATACACATTCCTAGAACTTGGTTCACGAGCTACTTGTGGAATGCATAGATAAAGTCCCATACTCTCACCTAAACTAAGCCACTTCTCTTAGGTTATCATAGTTAGGGTCCTTACTTCGATTGTACATTTTACTTCAGGCAAACTGTTCCCTTAACCGACACTATGACCATGGGTGCTACATTGAATTTAGTGTTGTAGAGCCTTAAACGAAGTAAAGGTGATCTACCTTGCAAATGTAGAACATTAACACATGTTAATATTTTTAGTGAGATATTATGCTAGATACTCTGGGCAAGCATGGTTTATTGAACATATTGGAATATATGCAAACCCTTTTTATGCCTATTGAGGGACTGTAGTTATCCACCTTGTGAGGACAATGGTGAACAAGCATTCCCACATTGGAAAGGGGAACCCCTCATCTATGTTCACTTGGTGCTAAGCTAAGTTCACTTTATTGAAAATCCATTGTTATCATTACCTCATTTAATTTAGCCTTAGGATATTTAAGCCCTCATATTCTTAGCTCATAGGTCATATATGAGAGTTCATCAACCTAAATCACGTGAGAAGTCCTTTCACATGGAAATAGCATATTCACGCACCACCTATTTTAGGGCACACATGAGAACACCTTTTAAGGATCCTATATTGACAAAATAATCATACATTGATAATGGACATGTTTTTATGTGTGTGTGTATACATATATGTGATCAAACCTTTTAGATAAACACCATTTGACCACACATAGTCATACTTCATTTCATTCATGCATAAGAGTACAAGTGTAATTCTATGAGCAATTCTTTTATATAAACACATTTAGATACGTACATAATCATACTTCACCTTATTATATACGTCACATTATAGCATATAAGACATGTTTATGTTATACCAATACATTCACATTCAAGTACATAGATAACAAACCGAGGAACTATCCTATCATGGCACACATGTTAAATGCCTAGAAAAGTTCACATAACCTTTTCCATACTAGTATACCTATTATGTAATCCCAGTTAAGGGACACATAACATTATTCATAAACATATAATTTACATGCATTGTAGTAGACATAATTGAAATGAGAATATCCTTTCATTTAACACCATGAACTTATACGAAATGTAAGAATGCTGAGGTGTTACTGTGTCTACATTGGTTAACATCATCGGATAATGGCTATCAACATCACATTGAGGCAGCAACCCTCTTAAGACAACAAATCACATACATTCATAGACCATACATCACAATTTACCATAGGAGACAAAATAACATCACATTGCATTCAAGATTCCTAACCTTTGCTAATCACACATTAATATAGGGGTACATCGGTAGGGGTCATTAATCATCATTACCCCATTAATGGAAGCACCTAAATATTAACCTAACATGGTCATCCAGATGCTTATTACATTAGCAATACAACCTAGATCCTAACTAGAGTAGTAGACTAGGCATGCTTCACATTTGGTAATCACCACCACCACATATTCATAATACAATTGTCTTCAAATCCATGATCACATCACATACACATAAATAAAACAAACACCGCAACCATAAGTGAACCATACAACACAATGTCATATAAAGCAAATTCTACAAGAAACATTACAGAAAAAGTAGAGGAATAGAACAACCTTACAAAATCTCACTTTCTTTTATCATCAATTATCAATAATTATAAGGCATAAATAATTAAATATAGGGAAGTAGCTAAAATATATCATAACCTAAATGAAATCATACTTCCATTACCATAGAATAGAGATCATATCAAGTAATCTGCACTAACAATCAATAAAAGATAGAAGAACATAGGTCAATCTGTTTAAAATTCTAAAACCTTGATCAACATATCACTCATAAACAATTAACCATAAATATAGATAATTGGAAGTATATATAAGTAATGTTACATGCTAGAATCTCAATTCAATTGCCAGATAATTAACGTCGCTATGACCATAACATAGACTAATTTGAGAATTTGAGCAAACATGGGTTCCTCATGAAATTCATATTAAATTCATTACATTATCATCAATTCATCATGAAATTGTTTTTGAGAAATAACCATGACTAGATTGAAAACTAGGCTGATTGATCATTAACTTTTATCGAAAAACCTTGGAAACAACTCTTTAGATGGAAGATTATCTAATGTTGAAGGATCACCATACCTTATTGTAAGAGAAAACCAAGACATATTCATAAAGAATACATGGAAATTCAAGCTCTAAGATATTGTTGAGCTTCATCTCTAATGGAGGTTTCTGGAGAGGTTTCTTTTTTTTTTAGAGAAAATCCCAATTTGAAGAATGAATTTAGGAATGGGTATTTGATCTTAATAACCAGCTAAATATACCAAAAATTTCTAAATAAAATGTCGAGGTTAAGGTTAGGCTGTGCGGTGCATTTACCATTCACCCCTTGAAGGCTGCATTAACGACAGCAACCTATAGCCTATAGGCCAATCGAGAGGCCATCATGTTGGTTGTCGTTTGGGTCTGAGGCGTGGAATTGGTTGTTTTGACTCGTAGGTAGGTTTGGGATGACTCCCACCCATCAAAGGGGTGTCAACAAACCTATTGGTCGTGGTTTCAAGGTTTTAGGTAGACACTGCCAAGACATTGTAAAGGGAGACTTTGGGTTATCCTTGAAGGCCTTTTGTCGCGCCCTTAGGGAATCGTACTCAAACGTGTCCAACAAAAATACAATAATTAACATGACAAGGACATTCCATACCAGTTTGAGCATCACACAACATTAGTAACGCATAAAAACATGCTAGGAACACTTAGGAACGTCTTGGACATTTGACTTCCAACTTTCTTCAAATCAATCGTACATGTTTTAAAACACTTAATTAACATGTTAACAATCTTATGAGTTACATGTGAGGACATGTGGACCTTAATTTATTTTGGTGGTGTTACATAGGGACACAACATTCATCATTAACAATCTCCATCACACAAGATATAACCTTAACATGTTTTCTTGACATTAGACACTACCTCACCTA